GCGGGCTCAAGTTTACAGCTCATCGAGGTCACGTGACCAAGTGCTGGTTTTCGATTGGATCGCATGCTCATACCAGGTTAACTTGCTGTAATCTGGGGCCTGTTTCTCGAAACCCCCGGAAACTTTTCGGGCCCGAAAAGCCATTTTCAGTTAATCGGTATTTAAAGACAGAGAGGTGTATACGCCTGAAGCTTCTTGTACGGAATGGAACCTCTGTTTATATTAAGAATATGTGAATAAAACAGCTCTGTAATCAGAAGGTTTGAGATTTTGCCACGGCTTTCCGGGTGCGAAAACTTTTCGGGACCTTCAAGAAACGGACCCCAGGGCCGGGTTGTTCGGAAGCCGGTTACCGCTAACCCGGGATTAAAAGTTAACCTAAGTGTAAATTTTCCTTGACATTATTTAAACCAAAACAGAGAACCGAAACAATATAAACAAAAAATCTCACCGCAAAGTTAAAGAATTCAAATCAAAATTCTCGCTTATCCTGGATTAGCTTAATCGGGCTTTGAACAACCCAGCCCAGGAGTTCCGCTTTTAGGCTTGGCTAAATCTATATATTAGACATGGTACCCAGTTCTTCCAAGAATGCTGCTCGCGCGATACGTGGACAGCCCGAGCGACTTTCTTGCAACAACCTGAGAAAAAATAGCGAAATGTGGTGAATACTCATTTTATAAAGCGTAAATGTTTTTTGCAGCCTCAGCGTCTTTTTGTACTCGTTTGGCTGTTAATTATTCTGCCGTTCATTCGGTTTTAGGCAGTTTAATGGGGAGCTTAGGGAAACCACGACGGCACGTCGCTAAACAAAAGTTTTAGACTAGGTTTACACTGAACGAGATTTTTCCGGATTCGTAAATGTTTCCGGATTCACCTATTTTAGAGTATTCGGATTTCTACCGGGTCGTTCACGCTGAAAGGATATTCGGATTCCTAACCCTTTACACACGACGACAACTCAAAGTAAAGCAACTTTCGAGTTGAACACGATATGATGAAATGAATCTGGAATTTCATCTTTAGGCATTCTTCGCATCCCTAAATTTTACACCAAGCCTTACAGCAGCGTAATTTTTTTAGAGCTCGGAAGAATCAAAGCTGCAAAAGGCCTAATCTTGATCATGGCCAGGATTGAAAATTGCTAAAATGATAAGCTCGCTGCCTAGAAACCACTAAGTACAGCAAAATATAATTATCATTCCTAGCTTCGGGCATGAAGAAAGGTACTTAGGGCTGACAAAGTTCGTGCGGTTCGACCACAAATCACGACAAAACTTTAATTGCCTACAGCAAATTCAATTCACTTTTGGAAAAAGGTCGGCAGAAATGAAATTTAAAAACACCTTCTCTTTGCAACCGACGAAACAAGTACATCACTGTTTTCCTAACCTATTAATTGACAAATCTCCCAGTTTTAACCCTTGAGAAAAGGACTGAGGCAGGACGACAGGGCTAAACAAGATTGAAAATCACCGTCTGCACTTGTTAAACGGAAATGACCGACCTTTTGCAAAATAAACAAAAATTCTCCTGGAGAGGCTTTCGACCCAAAATGGAGTTAAATCAGTCCCCGTCATAGCGCGACTGCGCGGGAAAATTTAAAAACGTATCTTTATTTTTACGGTTAGGCCTACCGTCCACACTAATTCGTCACGAAAACGGAGCTTTTCGAAAACGCCGGCATTTCGTTTTCCTGTGGACGAAAATCGAAAACGATTTAGTCACGATAATCATGACATTCTTCTGATGGAGTTTTCTTCAAACACAAATCCAAAATGACCGGCGGCGATTGTTGCGTTTTTAAATCCCTTTGGCGTAGTGTAGACGGAAAACATTTGATGCGTCTTCAGAGTGAAACCTCGGTTTTCAAATTTCTCCGGCGTAGTGTGGGCGAGACCTCAGAGGTAAGCATTCATTTATTGTTTGTAGGGTGACAAGGCGACCTTTCCTCAATCATCTTTGAGGTTTCTTACGTGTCGTACAAACATACAGCTCCCGATCAAACTATTTGTCTTGGTGAACTAGTTTTTAAGACGATTAATAATTTATTCACATGACCGTGTTTAGGATATGAGACTGACATTCCACTGCAGGTTTCAAGGAGTTCATTTCATGTTTTTCTTGTGGGTGATGGCAGTGATACCGCGTACATTCTTGGTTGCCGTCTTAGGTTACGAATAATACCTCTGGTAATTCAAATACATTAACATGCCATTGATCACATATGTCGCTATACAGACCAGACAAAGATCTTTCAACACAAAACAAAGTACAAAGGCAAGATAGGCGGAACCAACACAGGACACCACTGATGTCATGAACAACATGGCCGGAACCCATGAAAACCACAACATACCTGAAATACAAAGCAAAGGATGATTCAATATCGACGTTGCCTATTAAAGGAGTTATACAAAGTTATTCTGGCGAAGTACAAAATTAGCTTTCAATTGAAGGAAACCTGAAAATAATAGTTAACTACGATAGAAAAGCACTTACAAGGACGTTCGCGTCCACTGTTACTGCGCATCCTTTCTGCGCACGAAATTCATGTCGCAACGTCACGTGCACCTGATCTAAATTTCACTAATGGAGCTTTTTAACATCGTCTTAAAATAACGGAAACCTCTAAAAACGCATACCCTTCAACACGTCTTATCTCGAAAACCAGCAGGGTGACCCCCTATTTTTTGGCTTAAAAGTTGATTACTTCATAGTAAGTTTTTAACAATCTGCCCGGGGTACCATTTGGGGCGCGAACGCTATAATAATAAACCAGAAAGGAACAAGGATGGTTAAGGATGGAGAAGATTGACTCACACTTTCTCAAATTCATTCATAATTCATCAAGTTAAAACAAAGAAAATCACAATCGTGAAGGATGTTTGGATACCCGGTCTTAAATAGCATAGATTTTGATGATTTTACTTTTCCGTTTACTCCTTGGTTATTGCTTCGATTGAGAAGATATATCAAACATTCAAGACAGTGTTTCATTGGCTATCCAAACACCTCGAATTTCGTCAAAAATACTCCGCTGCGCGTCGTGTTTTCAACTCTCTTCTCGGTGTTTGGACATCCCGATGAAACACTGTCTCTCGTAAACGACGAACTTGAAACATTTTGGCTAAACCTTTTCAAGGTGCGTAAACCGTGATGTGGCTCCTTTAAGACATACTGCTTGTATATGGTTTATTGATCGGGTTTGTTAGGTCAAGATGGCTGGATATTGGTCAAGTTCATTTTTTTACGTTTATCGAAAGAGATGCAAAAAAGGAGGCCACTATCCAGCAATCTCGAACAAACAACTGAAATGTGGAATTATCAAAAGAACACAATTTTACTTGTGCGACAAACCGGGGAATCACGAGAGGGACAAGATAGCCCCATCTTGCTGCACGGCAGCCAATCACAGCGCAAGTTCATGCATCTTGTCCGCTCACAGGGCTAAACGTATAATAAATACAGTTATTTTAATACACTCTGAGAGGGATATGCTTGTTTACTGATAACATCTTCACAGCCATTGTGCATTATATCTTTGACGCTCGACAAGGTTATGATTTATTTTTGGCTTTTTTCAGTTCTGTTTGATTGGAGGAATGAAAATCCGCGGAATGAAAATCTGGGTTTTAACACATTTCTCTGCGCCTTTTGCAGGAATGATGAAAAGAAACATCTTGGCTTATTTTAACAATGATTGCTGAGCCAGAATAGAAAATAAGTAAAGGTCAAACTTTTAATCGACAAAATTACAGTAGCAGCGTTGCCATATCTATGACGCCAGTGCAGATGCTAAATTTCAATGAAATGTCTCTCCCAAATGTCATCTTTTGTAAATGTTTCCTTCTCTGACGTTAGCAAGGTTTGTAATCGTGACGATTTTTCATCTCGTTATTGCCAACCTTCCTTATACGTGTAAATATCACTTTGTTTACACTGCTTGATCGATTAGCTTTACAGCTACGTAATTTTACTTGATATGTTGTTATAAAGTTTTATTTCGTAATCAATTGATCGTGAAAATGATAATAAAGTACACAGTGTATATGCTGATGTTGTTAGTTGTGTATAGTCGTCAACGTCACGGTAGAAGTCAATAACGTTACAGTAAAAGTCAATGGCGTCAAGAAAAAGGGCGACACGTAAGCGAATAAGTTAATCTAACGTCATGGTATAAATACCCTTTTAGTAACCAGATACTTTTTCCTCTGACGTCACCTCTCAACAGTTGATGAATTTTTCAATTCTGTTCACCTAATTGGTTGACAATATATCGATTGTGTAAGGAGAAATGAAATGTTCATCAAACTTGTAAAATAAGGGTTTTACCCCTGTAATAAGGGAGGTATATCCAACATTTTGAATCACTTTTTCCTCAGTTGACGATAGGCGAACCATTTCTCGAAAATCCAAACCCGAGAAACCTTACGCCATGAGTGTGATCATCAACGTAGAAGATTTCCCAAATATGCTAGCAATTTTCCAGGAATTGGAAAGGCAGGAAAAACAGAAATCACTTAAAATCAACCAGCCTGTGACAGAGGAGACCAGCGAGCAGGAACGAGAGCCGAACCTGGTAGCAGTAAAGGAGCTTGAACCAATCAAACACTGCGAGCGGGTAATATGCGAAGATAGACTCACTCCTGCCGCTAAAACACTAAATGACGAACAGCTTGCTCTGATCTATGAAGACATCTTCAAGCCACTGGACTTTGCTTCAATTATGCATGAACGAAGAAAGCTCGCGGATAGGAAGTAATGACCATTGAGACAGCCCTATGTATTGTACTGTATTTGAACTGCTGAGTACATAGAATTGACCAGTTAACTATATTCCATAATGAATTGGGTATTCTGAAATTTAAAAATACTGACTTGACTAGTTTTAGTCTCAGTAAAAAAAAAGAATCGAAATGTAAAATCAGCGTACTCAATATGCTGTAAAGTTATGCAATCATTCTGGGTGTTTTTTTGTTTACTCTTGCACGTGACTAGAAGTGGAAAACAGTAAACTTGAGCAGTTTATTTTTTCGCTTACATGATTGGAATTATATTCGACGACACATTTCTTTGTATTTACTGTTAAATGTTAAAATAAAAAAGCTTGCTGGACATCTGAATGCACTAAAGTTACGCTAATTCATTTTGTAAATTCTCTCTCTTTTTTATCGTTTTTTGAATCCCAAATTCTTCGGCATAGTTTTTCACAGTACGGACCTTCCGGCCGGCAAATAACACATACATACTCGCCACAACGCAGAACGTTTGTTTGTATTTTGCAGTAGTTTACTGACCAATGGCTCATACCAGTAATGCTCTGATACTTTGAACGCAAGAACACCCTTACCAACCGCTTCAAGAGCTTGCAAACCATGTCGATCATAAATTATTACTGTGGGGTCTTAAAGGGCCCGCAACTTCGGCAGCCAGTGTACCACATTAGCTCATATTCATAAATAATTCATTTCGTCGTATATCATTCTTCTGCTGTCACTCAAATTGCCCTATTTTTTGTCTTTTCTGTGCAAAAGTGATCTCCTACTCGCTGCATTGCGCGTACTCGCATTTTTTCTGCCCCTCAGTCGCTTCGCGCGCGTTGCAATCGAAATGTCCCAGCCAACATGAGCAACCAACCGTCCGCCATAACATAAGGTAATCACATTTTTTCCGCTACAATTATTCTGCAAAAATGGCTGTTTTGTGAATGGTCTTTGTCAAAAATGTTCCAAGTAATCTCAACTTTAGTTTCCTAACCAGCCAGCTAAAAATCAAAGGTTTAGGGGAAAAAACTATGAACGTACCCTAAAGGGGTTACTCCACAAAGTTTTATACGGAGCATAAGCCCTTATGATGTATAAGCCCTTGTCGATTTATATAGCACTTGGGCGTCAGTTTCATAATCTGAATAGCAATCATACACGTACGTGAAACTCGTTATTAGCACGCAGAACTAAGTTACTTTATAAATAATCTGGGTATTTGACTTCTAAATTATTATTTGCATACAAGTTAGAGTGTCGTGAAAATTGATTTGGCTGCTCAACCTAGGATTTTATTCCTTTATCCCAGGTTAAATGTCTAAAATATCTTCTGTTCTTGCCTATCCTGACTAGGCTAGCCATATATTTGGCAAATTATTGTACAAATACCAGCTGTATATGAATAAAGACAAACGTAAGCTAGTGAACTGGCTCCCAATTGATGTACAGTGTGTAATTACATGTAGGGTGAAAAATACATGCTTCGCTCACAAAGCCAAACTATTTTTTGCATTTAGCATTACTACAAGTCAGATATGGCTTGTCAATACGTCATTTACAATAATAATGTATAGTTTTAGTCATCTTGTATTTCTTGGGAGGAAACCTAAGTTTACATGCGCCGTGGTTTTTATTACGTTCCCTCACCATTTTTCTATTTTTTTTACATACTACTAATATCATAATTTCTTTGTATCTTTTTTTATGGCATTCCAAATAAAAAAGAAACGACTTTTTAAAACATTTAGCTATAAAAAAATTGCGAAAACACTTTTCTTAAAAACATCTAAGAAATTTTTAAAAACGGTTAAAAGATCATTAAAGATCATTAAAAAGAATAGCATTTCGTAGAATTGCTCTTCACCACGGGAAATTTGACTGCCTCGTTTACGAAATGCTATTCATCAAAGAACTGAGACCTAGCCTTAACACTCAAAGTGACTCCATCAGTGCTAAATTCTTTGTTTAGCTTGAAGCATGTTTTTATATTACCTTTCTTTTTAAATATCTATTGTTTTTCTTTTATTTATAAAATATTCATACTGTGTTTTTTTACTTGATAACGACGTCGGAGAGCGTCAAAACGTCGTGTATTTTTTAAACATTTTTAAAAATTTCTTAAATGTTTTTTAAGCAAAGTTTTTTCGTAATTCCAAATAGAAATAAAAGAAAATAAAAGAACATAACATTTTGACCAGTTAGCCCAGTCATGACGTACACCAAGATGTTGACAGGCTGACACAGCATCTCCAGTGAGAGTATCTATGGTGTAGGTCAATTTGTACTTCATGTCAGAATGATTTCAATCTAAGTTAATTTGAGTCACATGGGAAAGGTAAGTCTGGGACCAATGACTTATCAGACCAACAAATTTGAGCAAATTTGCAACGATTGCTTGTGTTCCCTAGAGGAGAGGAAGCTAGACTACAAAGTCAGAGGTCATGTGTTGAAACCTAGGTGAGTACAAAATAAAACAAAAGATCTTGAGGTGGGTTAGGGTTGGGAGGGTTGATATGGGATCCTGGCAGGGTAGGGTAGGGTTATTAAATAAGAGTGTAGCCAGTGTTACACCCAAAAGAAAAATCGGAGAGACACAAATATTTCAAGAGTTGGCCATCAAGACCACACTCAGAATTTGTTACACTTTTTGCGCGAGATCTAGATCGTCAATTTTGAAGTTTATTAAAGCCAGGTTAAGGGACCTAATCAGAATTTTATGTCAACAAAATTATTCCGTGTGTGGTCTGATCCTTTATCTGTACTATTGAAAGGTCATTAACTGTCTCATGTAAGGATCATACATGCTGAGAGCTGAAATGGTTTTTATGCATGGATAATTTATGCAAGGAACATGCTCTCTCTGATTTTTTCTTTCAGAGGGCGGCTGTGATGCAGGCTAACTCTAAGTGGGGTAGGTGGTTCTTTTTTTGTGACCCCCATTACCCCTCCACCAAAACAAAAAATGTGCAAAAAAGTCTGGTTTAAAAAATTTAACCTAGGTAGAAAAAATTTAACTAGGTTAAAATCATTCTGACCTAAGGAACAAATTGACCTACAACATCAACATGACATAGTTAATGGGTAACAGTTCTCATTATCCATGTCATAATTTTTATGTCATGTCATCTTTACTCAGTATTGGTGCAGTTAATGATCATTGCATTTTTATACTTCAAAGCAGATAAAAATCACTTACCAAGAACAAACTGCATGGAGTAGAACACTATACCCAAAATACAGTTTGGCATGTTCAGAAAGTGCTCCTTGCCAAGTAAGATCTCCACTACTCCAAATCCTTTACTGTAGCTACAGAACAAAATAAATTATGATTACATTTCCATGTCACAACATCAACATTTTCCATTCAAAATCCCATTGCTCTTTTGGAATGTTCACAACTTCATTGTCACTCACTCACTACTCAGTATTTTTTAATGTTTCAAGAGAGTCCTTGGTTCTGGCAGAAGATAAAATGTAAGGCACTTTCAGTAATTTGAGAAAACAATTTCTATGCTGTCTTTTGTTACAAAAACTAAATAAATATGTTTGCCCTTTTAAATACTTCCAGATACATTATTCAGAGTTAAAAATGATAACAAAGTGGTTTATTTGATTCATGAATAAAGAGTTTTATGCAATTGCCTGCCCTTCTCTTTTGCTTGGAGCAAAGTGAACATCCTTGATCTCCTTTGCATTCGTTCTTGTTTTGTTTTAACCAAGAGGGTTTGAAGTAGCCAATGTTGAATTATGCTCTCTCCCCACCCCTCCCCGCCTAATCTAAGGTTTGATTTGGAGTAAACAAGTGGGTTTGGAAACAGTTTGCTTCTGAGTTGTAACCTTGCTTATTGCAAAGTTTTCCCACGGTCGCCTCCACCACAATTCAGCTCCTTAGGTAAATCAAATTAGGAAAATCCAGAAGTATTGTGTTCCTGTTTGTTGATATCAGAAGTAAATTATGTCACTTAGAGCACATATTAACTTGTGGAAGCCAATTCTTCTGGATATATTGGTCAAATTTTCCCCAGCCCACATCAACTCAATAAAACTATTCTTGTGTTCACGTACTAGTGTAACGCAATCCTAATCCAGTTTGTATCGAGAATTTTTCTCNCCCCCCCCACAGTAGGGGCATATTACATCATGAGCACATGCACGTAGTCACATATTTGCCATAAAGATTCAAAGTGTGCATGCACAGCTGCAAAGCTGCATGTATTTTAATTTTGACCCACTAGCCTTTGAAAGCCTGCAATGAAGCCTGCATTATCAGGAAAGAATGTTTTGTAGCTGGGCAACGGCAAATAGCCATGAGTTGTGGTAAGAAAACAAATCCTCCATTTAGTTCAGCAAATGATGACCCTGTGGTAAGAAAACAAATTTTCCAATTTGAAGCTCAGCAAATTCGTTGTGGCCCTAATTGGTTGTCAGAGAGCAAACTTTCTGTGTTGTGTAACTCACCAAAAGGCCGTGTTTTGAGGTCAGAATGGTTAATTCACCTTTTTCATTTGTGACAACAAAACGTAAATTAGAGCAACGAAAACAAATAAAAACACAAAATTTAAGAACATTTGGGCATATGCTGTCTTGCAGGGTTGCTGGTCAAAACTTTATTTTCTCAAGAAATAAGCTTATTTGTTAAAACTATGGCAATCTGAAATTAAATTATAAGTGTCGCCAACAGTTCAAATGCCTTTCCTGGAAAATATTTTGTGCAGTACAAGTTAATACTTAATTAATTAAAAACACTTTTACCGCAGGCTTCAACCTCACCTGCAGATCATTATCTGTTATTCGATCACACTTAGTTTTCTATTGAGCCATTCAAACACCACCAATTTAGCCTGCAAACAGGCTCCTGCCCCCAGATGCTTCACTCTCCAAATTCTTCTGTTTTGCACTCACCAAAAGTTTTCTTCTGTCCTTGCCGGGAGCCTGTTTGCAGGCTACACCAAGAAGAACAAACATACAAAGTACACACATGAACGCACTGCTCTAACCTTTGATTACTACTATTAGTCAGTATCGTCATTATATGCTTCTTGTTGTGATAAAAAGCAGAAATGGATTTCATATTAAGTGAGCTTTTTAAATGTTACATCATTACATACTGTATGTGTGACAGCTTTTTCAAAATATATATTTTAAGAAAATGTTTTTGAGTAAATATGAAGAGCTCTCTCTTCAACAAAAGACAGCATTTTAACATATGACTTCCTTTTTCAACATTAATACAGAAATGGATTAAAGCTCAAATATCCTCTCTATAGCGTAGTCCCTTTATCCCATTGATTAGCTGTCTAAAATATCTTCATATTTTTCCAATGATCTCGTCTATCTTGACTACAAACTAGCCATATATTTGAAAAAGTATTGTATGTTCAAAATAATAAAATTTGTATCCAGCAGCTTCACTTACCTAGATGTGAGAACTCGTGAACAGCTCATATTCTCACCAAGATCGCAGGCAGCCTTGTATGTATTGTCTCTGTGTTTTCTCGTCTCGACATACAGTGCATACGCAGATACTAGAATCCCAAGTCCACAAAACAACACGTGGTCAGAGGATTCAGAAAACAGTAAAGCGTCTTGAACCATCTTGAATTTATTTTGGTCTACAGAACGGCTACGGAAAAGAACAAGTGCTACAATAAGGTGAGTCTAAAAACAAACAAACGTGCTAACTCTACATGTATCGTGTAAGCTTGAAAATTAAAAAAATATAAGCTTATATATAGCAAACACGGAAAAAATACCATTAAACAGAACTTGCGCTAGTGAGAACACTCAAAAGCTCCTTGCCACAAACTCAAAGCTTCTGATCTAGTTCAGTTCGAAGTAGTACACTTAAAATAAAAGCTCTATACATATTAATCAAATGACAGCGAACGGCCGGATACTCTGCTTCTCCTCAGTCGGCCATCTTGACTGCGCCTGAGAGGAAACCTGGGGTGAATATTGGACTTAGACTCCACTCGGCTGCGAATGGGAGCTCGAGGAAAGGGAAGAAAATGTGCTGGCATGGACTTTTGGCACAAAGGCTTTTGCTTATTATAGGAGCTGGCAAATAACACTTAAACGGATGTCTGAACAGGTTTCTGTCCGATTGTTTCCCTGATGGCCTGTAGATGTTGTAATGTGACTTACATACAGGACCGCTGGGCTCAAGGATGATGTGCACAACTCATGTATCGGTTCGGAAAAGGTAAAAATTAAGAGGTCAGTATACAATGCTATAGAGGCAGAGTGAGCAATTGGCTTACCTTGATGCTTGTTAGGTTGGGCTACAAAAAGAAATAAGTTACCAGTGCACATAAAAAGTGGAACAAAGATTTATTTTTTATAACGTGATTAGATATTCCAGCATATGGTCAGTGTAAAATAAAGAATGCAACTGCAGATTACGGGCTGCAGACTGGAGACAGCGGGAAAAATGCAGACCAAAAGTAAAATGCAGACTGCAAACTACATACTTTTCAAGTATATAATCCATTATCCCGTGCTAACCATAAAAAGGGTTTTTCAGGCTAATCAAAGGCTAATCTTTGTGAAAGTCTGCAATCTGGTTAGCTTCAACGATATTAAACGGTCGAGTTAGCCTGTTTATGGTCAGCTCTAAATGATGGAAATGATGACACGATTCAGTAAAAAGTGTAGTCTGTAGTCTGCATTATACCCTTGCGTAAATTTTGGATAGGAGTTTGGACAAGGGTCTTAAACCCCGACTCTATTTAAAGATGAAGCAAATGATTTATTGATATCCAATTTAAGGCACAAACACGAAAGGCCACACCATATTCCAGAGAAAAACATAAACAAAGAATAGCGAGAGCGGTTCACCTTTATTCCGTTTCTGTAACGTATTTGGAAGTTTGCGAATAGTTCAGTTTTACAGATCATTTGGTTTTCGTTTAGCTGACCATTTACACACTGCAATTTTAGCTGATACAATTTAGGTACCCTATCTATGGACCACACCAGGAACACAAAGCCAACAGGGGTAAAAATGATACCCTATTTAAGGATCAAGAACATCAAAAACCCTTCCCTATCCTGTGGCACAAACTTATATAGCCCATGTATGGGAGTTCCTCCCGCCCCCCAACAGGTTTTACCCCTGGCCTGCAGAACGCAGTCTATGTTTTACACTGATCTCTCCGGCGTATGCTCCTTATTGCATACGGTTGTGTGTGTATTTTTCTCCACGGATGAAAGCTAGTAAGGTTGTAGCAATTGATTAATTAATATAATATCAGTTCTTTATGAAATGTGAGTACCGTATTTACTCGATTAAACGCTCCGTTTATTAAATATTTCGTGATTTGAGGGCGGCGTTTATACGAGGGGGTGTTTATTTAAAATCCAATTTATTTCTTGCCAACAATAGTATGGTAAGTACCCTGGGTGCCAGAGGTTTCTCTTGCGCGGTTTCCGGTGTCGGTCATGTCCCTATTGTGACCCGCGCGAAAACCCTCTGGAGCAGAGCGCGATTTCTTTGACAGCGCCGAGCCAATGACAAGCCACTTAAAATCTGTCTAGTCAAGAATCTGGACTAGAAAGCTGATTGGCTCCTAACGCCCTCCCAAGGGTTTTCTAATCACGGTGATCGGTTTCTAATAATAGAGAATGTGAGCCCGTAATGTGTCGTTGAGTGACGTGATGATCGTGGCTGGCGGATTTTGAGGTTGAGGTTTGTTCGCGCGTTGTAAGGTTTGTGAAGGATCAAGATCTAGTCAAAGCCTTAACAAAAGTTCCTCAAAACGTTCGACGGTGTTGACAACTTTTAAAGCGCCGAGAAAGGGATGGAATCGCGAATTTTTTCGCAGCAAGAATGTTTTGACGGTTTTGCCAACGGGATTCGGGAAATCGTTGTTATTTCAATTAATTCCTGGACTCTGTGTTGAACTACACAATGCTCCCGACGCCGGTGTACCAGACGAGCTGGAACAGCATTTAGAATACCTATTTTTACCGTTTGTAGCTTCTCCTTTCCAACAGACAAGATTCTTTTTGTAATATTCTCAGTTTAAATTTGCGACTTCTTTGACAGTCGCTTCGAATTTTTGGATCTGTCGGTAGCACGTCTTACAAAGAATACGCGGCCCGACGGACAGATTGTTACCCAGGGTGAGTCGTCCTCGGCAGTGAAAAAGGTCGAGATTCTTTCAAAGAGTTTCAGTTGTTTAACATTTTCAGGTACAAGGCTGTAATATCCACCATTACACACAACGTTAGCGTCAAATAAACGGCACGACAGTGAAGACTTCGAATTAGGAACTTTTTTCACGGGAGTATAACGGTCATAACGTAGTTTTTAGTCCCGCAGACCAGATCTGTCATGTCACGCGAATGTGTTGTCCCCACGTGCCAGTTCATGTGATCACAGTGGGAGATGCTCGCTGTGATTAGTTTAAATGTTATCCAATAAAATTGATCAAAGTTCGACGAGAACGGTGAATAATACCGTTCTTACTTACTTCTGTACCAGAGGTTTTTCTCGCGGCTTCGCTGCTTGTGCCGGCGGCCTTCGGCCGCCGAAGCGAAGCGAAGTATTTCCGTCCGCCGCGCGCGAGAAAAAACTTCGGCAAGATTTCCGTATAACCCCATACACTTTAATTATGCAAACAGCTCTTTGTTTAACTAAACAATAGCGGAAACAATAGCGCTCCTTTGAGACTTATCCGCTTTGAATAACTATAAAATTTAACATTTTCGCATTCTTTTAGACTTAGAAAAAAAGCATGCAGAATGTGAAAAAATACATTAACATGAGGAACAAAAAAGGACACAAAGAAATCACGAAATAGCCGCAACAATTGTTATCAATGAAAGCAAATTTCCAAAGCTTGTTTTAAAGCTGAACTACCGTATATTGCTCTCGTTTTTTGATCATATTCCTTTTAGCTTCGAATGTACTGAAATTAAAACATTGTTACAATCAAGGAAAATAAATTTTTTAGGCTTCCTCAAACTTCATTACCGCATTTGCTTTTTGAGTTTATTATTCGAATAAACGCCGCATCATGATGGGGCGTTTATTCAAGGGCGGCGTTTATTACTATTTCTCCGCTAAAATACAGCGTTTATTTGAGGGCGGCGTTTAATCGAGTAAAATTAATGCGGCATATGTCATTAGGTTGGGGCTTACATCGATAAACGGTACAGATCAAACATCCAGATGCATATACAGATCCATAATCACTTATGACCCATTTGCTGTTGTGTGTATCTAATAAAAATATGAGACAAACTACCTCTTTGTTCAAGAAAAATAGCCGGGAGAAATAGATAGTCGTCTTGACGGATTAATCCATCTTTTGCTCGTCTTTACACATCACCATCCGGACAC